CTGCTGTTGCCTGCAGGTGGCAGGCTGCTCCTAGTGAACAGTCAGGTACCTGCCACCAAGGCTGGATATTCCAGGAAGAAGGGAAAATGTTTTGAAAAAAAAAAAACTGAACTAACCTATACACAATGCTTACTTTATTTAACCACCTTGCCTGCCTTATATTAACCAGCAACCATTAAGTTAAAAATGTGTGGGGTTTTGTTTTTTTTTTTTGTTTGCTCACTTGAAATGGTTTGCATCCCTGTAGAGAGGAGCAGCATTAAGGTACGGTAGGAACAAAGTTGCTAGATATATTTACATATTCAAACATCTGAATATTATCTGAGATGATGAGAAAGTCAATAGTGAAAGGTACTGCTGGTATGTAGAAAAGTCTTTTCTAAGGTTATCTCTAGACAATGAGTTATAGTTTTTTTCTAGTAAGAAAGAAAACATGAAAAAGCTGGGTCATTTCTGAAAATACTTTCTTAAACAAAGTTAGCACCTTCACTACAGTCTATACTTTAGGCAGCTTATGTTGTTGTGAAAGTTAAACGTGTTTCTCGTTAGGGCGTCCCAAGCTGCCTCAGTTGTCAAAGGCATGGGCCAGAAGGGCATGAATGCTGCTGTGAGCGCTAGGCTGCCAAGGAGAGTTCAGGATGGAGCTGGTGAAACAATTTTGTGTGCGCAGGTTCTGCGTGCCTCAGGGCACTACAAATGTTAGGCAAAACTTCTCCGATAGGTCCCCTGAAGGGAAGTGAGCCCTGACTGCTAATTAGTAGAAATTACAACTTCATTCTAATAACATCTGTCCCTTTAGTAGAGGTAGTGAGGTTAGGCTGCTGGGTTTTGGGATTCTCCTTACCCCCCCACTTCCCACTTCCTCATGAGCTAACAAACAACAGACAGTCATCTAGTGTCGTTAGAGATGTGACAAAGATGCTGAGCCTAAATTGTCTTGTGAAGGTTAAAGGTAGGTCCCACCCTTTCCACGATCAAGTGCTGATTTCTCTTAGTTAAAAACTATGCTATTAAAAAAAAAAAAAAACACCCTCAGTAATTATTTGGCTGTGTTTTGATAAGAATCACTCTTCTGCCTTCGTGTCTGATCAGTATGTATAAGCTCATGAGATTCATTCTTGTGGCTAATACTGCTCTATTTCTGGTTCAAAAAAAACCACCTAGGGCAAAAAATATGCATATTTAAAGTTTTATGGAGTTTGCATGGCCAAATTACATATACTTTAATAAGTTACATTTCTGTGAAGCAGTTGGACCTATTCAGTAAGTAAGTGACAACTTTAATGAACTGGCAGAATTTCCAGCATCTTCAACTGTAAGCCTTTGTTTGTAAAACATTCTCGTGCCACTTTTCAGGCTGAGAAACTTGAACAAACTTTATGCAGGGAGCGGGGAGGAAAAATTCCACATATTAAATCCGTATACTAAACCGTGTTGAATATGGTGACATAGATACGAGAACTGTGATTGTCCCAGGCAGAAGCATAGGCAACCCTCAGCTCCAGGCTCAGCCTGTCCATTATTTCTAGCCATCTTGCCTAAATAATATACCTTGCCATTGTCCTTGAACCAGCAAGAGGATGGTGCAGTAAATCCAAAGATGGCAACAGTACAGGAACAGCGAATGGTATCTTTGGACTTGTAGATTGAAAAAAAAAAAAAAAAAAAAGAGTGCTCACTTTTCCTTGGCAATTTGACATCTACACTTTTAAGCATTATATTTCACAGTCTTTTCCAGCTGGCCCAAATACTACAGCGCATGTAAAGACAGACAACAGAGTAAGTGGCACTGAGAGCACAATCACTGCAGAATTACTCATGATACACGAGTATAACAGAACAAAATGCGCATAGAGACTGGTTTTTGCCAGAAATAGAACTTCCTTTGCTGTACATCAGCTTTTTCTATTTGGGGCCTTTAGCACTTTGACTCCCAAAGGTTAAACATCCTAATGTTGAAAAAAACTCTTCCATTTCCTTCTGGAGGAGGTGATTTCTCTTCTCAGCATCTTCACGAGCACGTTCAGAATTCCTCAGCTTTATTTCCAGCATTGTGTATTTCTTTCGTTCTTGGTCCAGTTCTTCTTCTAACCTAACCACTTGTTTCCTCAGGTCTGCACTTGCTTCCTCAAGTCTTAAAACCAGAGGGGAGAGAGAGGGAGAAGAAAAAAGAGCGTTTTTAGTGGCTGGATAAATACTGCAATGATAGCTATACTATGTATAAGTAAGTAAGTTGTTCAATGTAGAGCTAAAATCATTGACATAATAAGAGGAAGTCTTTAAGTGAAGGCACTAATTGCCATTTCGTAGTTAATGTTGAGTTTTCATCAGGCAGGGATTTGCTGAAAGCTGGAACCCACTTCCTTTGTATCTTGGAGGAACTATGCTTAAGACTCATAAAACAATGCTTACTTTTTGGGACCAAACTAATGTCTGAATAGATGCAAAGCAACTCCTCAGTTAGGCTGAATTCAAATATGTAACTTCCAAAATAATCTTTTAATCTCTGTTTTCATCCTGATACTGTTTTTCCCTGTATGGATATCCAGTGCAGAGGAACACCCCTTTGCCTTGGAGGTCAGTTAGGTAGGAATGAAGTCACAGTTCTTCCTCACAATCCATTTTATGGTATTTTTCTGTAACGTTTGTCACATTGGGAAGAATCTGAAGAACAGACCTTAAATAGTTCATCTGGCACAAAGCTCTAAAGCAAGAGTCAGAGCTTTCCTCTAAGGAAATCAAAGAAAAAAGGTCAAGTCTTGACTTGAAATGAGCACAGCAGGGGCATCAGTTGCTCTCCCCACAGTCATGTTTCCTAAGCGCAAGGCAGCCTCTGCTAAAACAGAGGAGGGAGTATGTCCACAAGGGAATTTCTGATCGCCAGAGAATTCAAAAATGGCAATTTGAAAAGTTAGGCTTTTCCTAGGAAAATGTCCCCCTCCCCCTTTTTAAGAAAAGACTTTTAGGTTCACTGAGCACTGTAATATCCATATGTGAAACTGAGTTGCCTGGCATCCCTGTGAAATAGTGAACGGGGGTCCTTTTACAAAGAGTGAAGAACACAAAAATTACATGCCACAGCCTCCGCTACAACAACAACAACGTTAGTTAGCCATCATCTGTGCTAGTCTCAGAAGGGCCTCAATTCCCAATTCCATTCTGTGACCAGCAAAAAGCTATGATGCGGGGAATGCAATGCATGCCCCGAAACTCTTCCTTCCCAGACAGCTACGTACCACACTGTTGCCAGTGTCACAAAGTTTACAACACTGTTCCAAAGTTTATGCAGTCAGTTTTCCTCCTCCAAAAGATGGATAATGAATATTTCTGATGCTAATTCTGTTCCAACCCAGAAGCACTTATCACCCCAAGTCTAGCAGACCAATAGCTGCACTGATGGCCAGACAGAAATGTGCAGTATGTCTGGAAAAGATTGCTCCTCTCTCGCTGAAAAGGCAGGGCTTTTATGACCTGTTAGCGCTTCCCCCACCCCCCCCACAACATTGTTTTTTATAACAGCCTACAGATCTGAGCTACCCATTAAATTTTTCTACCACTAAATTTTAGGGGTCAACTACAGCAGCCTACGCTAGCTGTCCACTTTCTGAATTACATAGGTTCACAGCAGTTACTGAGTTTCTATATACAGAGTATAATAGTCCTCTCTAGGATACTTCCAATTTCTTAAGCGTTCTAGGTGGTGAACCTGAATTATTGAAACTCAAGAGAAAAGGCCTGGTAATTATACTAACATGGAGGGAGAAATGCTCTGGAACAGACTGGTTACAGGAAGGCCATAAAACTTGCCTTCCTCTGACTAAGAGGCAATGGGCACTTGATAATGACAAATAACAGCTTTTCCATCAGCAAGTATTCCTTACCTCTGCCTCAGGCAGATACTGACTTTGCTTTCCCTCTGCTTCTGCGTGTGCCAACAAAAAGCTCACACATGCCCTGCTACACAGACTGAGTTCTGCAAGCCACACAAGCACATGTACAATTGTAAAAGAACTAATTATTACTTCTGGGGACTAAATTATCTTCAATAAAATAAAGCTAGCGAGGCAACCCAATGTTTTCATACTAAGCTGCCTCCCTTCTTTACTACGGTGAGCTCCTGCCCTCTTTCCACAGGAGCAGACTGTCATACTGCCTCCAAAGGAACATATTTTTGCACGTGTAAATGGCTGCAGATGCACTCAAGGTATGGCAGATTTTTGAGAGCTGAAAAACTTGGCTTGGATTTCTTAGACTTGCCAGTAAGATCCTTAGGGCTGTAGTCCTGAACAGCTGGAATCATCCTGTTTAATACATAAAGGCAGTGATTGCACATTGCCTGGTTTTTATGAAAATGTTATTTCATTAGGCATTTTCCTCTTGGCTATTTTGCACTGTAAGAAAGACCTGGCCAATTTATAGGTCTCCCCTCCGGTTACAGTGCTGTTATGTCCCTTTCCAGCTGACGGTGAAAGGCGGTGGTAGAACTGAAAGAGCTGAGAATGCTCAAGGGCAGGAATGAGGAACAGTTCTTCATAGATGCTCCAATGTCAACAGCTGAAGACCGCTAGAGCAGTTTTACCGATAAGAGATGGGGAAGCCGTTTCTTCCCTCAGGGAGCAGGTAAGAATGTGCAGATATGCATTTCCAGGTGTTGCAGCCTGGTCTCATTTCTGTATATTACACCGTATTCCTGCAACAAGGCTTTCCAGGGCACTTGTGCATCAGCTTTGAATGCAAGGTACGTACCCTTATCTCCCTTCCCCTCCTCTGCAGCAGCAGGGCATCTTTAAAAAAATTAGCCATGTAGTACTATCCTCATTCATAGATTTTTTTTTCCAGCACACACCAGTCTAGAAACTGGTGCTGTTCTCATCAGCTCTTCTACTTGAAACATAACAAGGCTGGGGAGAGCTTCTCTCCCACTCAAATGATGCCTGGCGGGAACCAGAAGTGCTACGTGGCCTGATTCTCCTTCCAGCCTCCCATACCGCAGCAGTGCAAGGCAGGAGGCAGAAAACGCTGCAGAAGCTGGCAAGCCACCTGCACAGGAAATCATAAAATAAAGCAGGAAGGTAGTAATAGAAATTCCTGCCTTAACAGCTGGCCCACTGGAAGAGAACACAGTTCAGACTAGAGCATTGCAACACAGATTTTGAGAAACTACTTTAACAAGAAAAAAGAGGCAACAAACTTAGTCTAAAGCTGTACTATACAAGCCCTGCAACAAATGCTAGTATGAACTCTTGGTACTGTGTGGGGGAGACTGGTTGGAAATTAAGGTATGTTATTAATGGTGTGGTAGCATTTATATAAGAAATATAACACTAACGCCTTAATGCACAAAATTGGCCAAAACTCAACTATTTATAAGAAATTGGACTATTGCCTCTCTCCGGTACTAAGCACCAGTATAACAGGGCCCAGGCCAATGATGACTCTTCTATATTGTAATACAACACATGCCATGCAATTTTGCATATGCCTGTATATTAGAACATACCTAATTCCTTTAAGCAACTGTATTTACATCATGTACATACTTCACTGAGAGTCACTCTGTTAAGCACTCAAACGCATAAAACCTAATACGCTAGCTCACACAAATGGAATTAATACAACTGTTACTATTAACACTGTCTACTTCCTCCAGCCCTGCCCTCTGATTACTTAGCAAATCAGCTAACCCTCTCCTGAAAACTGCCAGGAATTTTTCTGAGTGCAGATTCAAAGTACAGCACCAGCGGTTACAATTGCACAAGTAAACAGAGTGGGGAAAGAACTGCACAGTTCAGGTATTTGCTGTACAAGCAGCACCTTGCAGTTGCTTTGCGTTAGTGGCTGGCTGTAAGCGTAAGCAAATGAATGCTGCAAGTATGTGTAGAAACCTTGCTTTTGATTTCTGAAGTTCAATGCAAAAATGACTATTCAGAAAGTTATAGCTGAGCTGCACTCCCATCAGAAAAAGGGAGAAGAGTCAAAATCAGTTTCCTGGAAGAAAGCGTCCCTTGGGAAAAGCAGCATGAAACTCTCAATTTAAGGCTGATTTAACACAATCTCTGTTCCTGCAAGAGCCAGCAGAGTTGCTTGTTAGGGCCTGGCCACCCTAGGCCCCTATTCCCTCCTTCTGCAGTAGATGTTTGCTGCGTTGTTTCTCTCAGGAAACTGGCAGAGAGCACACTTTGGGACCGTGTCTGCTGTTCCTATTTCCACTGAAAACCCAGAAAGTGAAATAATGGAATTTCCTGTGTGATGGAAATTCTATTTTTTGATTCTCTCTTTTGGCAAAGAGGGGAAAGTTGGAGTCACAGAGCCATGGGGAAAGACCAGATCGAGACAGGTAGTCACGCAAACCCAAACTTGGGATCTGAGCAACCCGTACCCTTGGTAGCCCACAACATGTTCAAACAGGCGTAAAGCTGAAAGAAGACTTCTTATCCCTGCAGATGACATTACCTTTTGATACTAGTCTCGTACTCAGTCCTCTGTTTGCTCAGTTCTGTCTTTAGCTCCACCACCAAGCTCTGCAAGGCCCTAGAGCATTTGACAGAGTCTCTGGAAGCAGCAGCAGGGTTGCTCTGTTCACTGCTACTGCTGCAAGCGTAAATCCTGTCAGTGCTGTTCTCTAGATCTGCAGTCTTGACCTCGCTCTGAGACAGAGAGCCCTGAGTTACCCACTCCGTTTTGAGAGAGCTTAAAGCAGAAGAGTCGCTGGCCCGACAGGCTGGGCAGCTGCTGACTGAGTCCACCACGGAGATTTCACACGACGATGTAGACCACGTAGTGCTGGCCATACTGTGTGTACTGAGGGAGAGGCTGGAAGAAGGGACGTTGTCATAGGTAGAGAGTCTCTGGGAAGAGCACGAGTCTTTAACCCGTTCCCCAGAGGCTGTCCTGCGGTGACCTCGGAGAGAGTACAGTCCATTCATCAACCAGTTCCCACCAGAGGAGAGGTTGGGGATATCTAAGGATGAGCTGCCCAGCTTTGGACTCACAGACCGTGCTCCCTGCTGGCGGAAGGAGTATTTCCACGGAGGCAACGTCTGCACTCTTTTGCTGGGGCTAGTAGCAGGCTGAGTCAATTTGCCGCTGCGCTCAGGAGGGGTGTTTTTCACCACAGGTCCAGGAGTGGGCTCTACTGCCACAGCATTGCCTGAAGGCAAATCAGCGGGGCTGGAAACACTGTTTTCTGACCTGCTGTCCTCCCCATCCTCCTCAGAGATCCACTCCACAGTATTGCGCTGACGCACAGGTCGGATTTCAAGTTGGCTCCCTGGCACATCTGTCTGAGGAACAGCAAAGATTCGCCCCTGTTCACTTATCAGCACCGTCATCAGGTGCTGAACTAGTGAGGTGCCTGTGGGGAGAAAAGGCAGGCAAGAATTTGGTAAGACACGAGAGACTTTTGAGACATTCGTTTCCTGCTTGTGAGAGGTAACATGAGCTCCTTGTGAGGCCAGCCTGTGGGCATCATGCACTACAGTAGGCCTGGGCAAACAGGATCTCTGGGCCTTTCCACTCAGGACTGCAAGAGACAACAACTGTACCCATTGCTGCAGATGGGCAATGTGAGGGACGCAGGTGTCAGTACAGCTCCTGAATGTAGCTGACCAGGCACAGCGCAAATGATCAACAGCAATGATTATTAATAAATTGGCCTGCTTCAGGACACCTTGAGGTGGACACCCGGAGAACAGCATGTCACTACCACACCATGGCGTGGGGTTCACAGTCAGGATCAACCTTGGCATATGCATCCATCTAGGGCAGCATAGCACCGTACAGAGACGCAAGCTGGATCCTGAACACGATAACATATTAGCTGAGATGGAGCCCCTTTTTGACTAGCTTCTAAAACCAGCAGGTTTCCAATACCTTGCCTATCTACACTGCGCCCTGTTTGTTTCACAGTCTTAATGTGCCCAGAGCTAGTGTTTTTTAAATGACCAGAAATTTCAGCTTAGGCCTTTTGCTGTGGTCTTAGTGTATAGAGAAATTTGGAGAGAGTATGACATCTGTATGACACATGCAGCTGCATGCAAGAAGAAAAAGATGTTTTTTGTACCATCACTCTATTTGTAGACTGCTGTTCACTTCCAATTCTAGTAAAACACTCTGCAGTTTGAAATGAAACAGCACTCATGAGGAAATGTGTTGAAATAGAGTCCAAGATGGAAAAATCACAGATTTCAAATATCTGTTAGAGTGCCATGTAAATGCAACTACCTAGACATCTCCTGGGAAAGAAAAACAACAGAACACAGGCCACCCCGCAAGTTCATGGAAGGCACTGATGACACCTTGTTTGATGCAGAAATGAAAGCAACTAGGAAAAGAGGCTCTTCCAGGAGCCTCTTTGTTTCATTCAGAAGGAACTCAAGGGAAAACATGGAATTTTAGAGTAGAAGCTGGTTTAGGTCACAGAAAGCACAAAATGACTGAGCATAGATTTTTTTTTTAAGAGTCGACAGCAAAACAAAAACCACGGGTTACAGGAACACAGATTTCAGTACACTTGGAAAACCAGCCTGTAAGATGCCGTAAGGGGCTGGTCTACTGCAACAAAGATTTTAAAAAAAAGAACAAAAAACCAAAAACTATCAGTTTCCCAAAAGAGTCAATGTTAAGAGTATAGATACAACTACCTCACTGTAGAGAACAGCTAGAAGAGTCACAAGATGGCCAACTGGATTAAACAAAGAGCTTCTCATTGCATTCACACGTAAGAAGCAAACACACAGAAAGTGTACTTACAACTACATAAATCCAGAGAAATGAGTTGCCACTGTTTTTCAGCAGTGGAGCAGACCATTATAGACTAACAGAGAATACCATTTATCAAACCTAATACAAAGTATTTTCTACAAATGCGAAAAACCTTAACAAGAGCAGATACGAAATTATGTGTACTTATTGTCTGAAAAAAACAATAAAGAATAAGATTAACATAATCAGTGGTCCAAAATAAGGACCTGAATATAATAACGAGGTTTCTGAATAAGTAGCCCGATAGCAAGCAGTACTGAGCTCATCTACAGCTTACATTTGATGTGTGTGGATGTGCAAAGGGAATTAAGCCTCTGCAGAGAGAAGGCCACTCCCAACAATTTAACTGTCCTACTTCAGGTATTTCCATTTGAAATTCATTGCTGAAGTTTGAAGACAGACACAGTTAAAGGGCTTCTTGTTAAGTGGGAGTATTTATCTGTATCAACTGATTTAAAAGTTCCATATTACCCTGAAGCTGAAGAAATCTCATTAAGAGTTCTTTCAATTCCTCCATTATTTATATATAACCAGACCTTTATCCTAAACTGACAGTAAAAACATGACCAGTGCTGCTGCTTATGATTTTACTGATAAAGTCTAAAATTCCAGTCACTGGATCCCAGTTTTTCTGCAGTTCAGGTCTGCGGTCATTCAGAGTTCTAGGTCAGGTCACTCTCTCTTGTATTTTTATGTAATGACTAGGGGAGACCCGCAGACCAAAGCATCATGCCATGACCTAGGTGAGTGGAACTCAAACTCTTCATCTGCACCCATTAAACAAAACCCATGTTGCTGGCCAAGGCTGTAGCAGCCTTACCAACCTCAGGCCAGCTGGCCACTAGGGGAAGTCAGAGCATCACATAATAGACTGAGGCTTTAATTATTCCCCCCTTTATAGGAATGCTGAGTAACCCCAGCATCTGCCTCTGCACCCCCTTTTTTTTGCTATCCACGTTTTTGTGCCTCAAACTACCTCAAAGCGCCCCTTAATAATATGGCCTACACCTCTGTGGCAGGCTTCGAGCCGCTTAACAGCTATGTTGCATCACACGCTCTGAACCTGGCCTGTTACACCAGAGCATCCATGGAGCACACATCTGTAGTGGCCACTTCAGTGAACTTGAGAGGTCACTTGCGTGGCGCAAAAGGCACCACTGCTTCTAAGGCACAATAATACTGGCTTTCTGTGGAGGATTTCTGTCACACTGAACGCCACTTCAGCTGTCCCCTGCAAGGTCAGGAGCAGTGCCAGGGCTGATTTCAGACATCCTGTGTACAGTATCTCCATCTGTGCCAAATGCTGGGTGGATCCATCAATTCTTTTCAGGCTCGCCAGGATCCTACAAATTTTGCTGCAAATACCTTGTAAGACAGCAGTTGTGCTCCAGTGCCACCTGGAAGTGGGGCTGTGCGCCAAACCTGGCATTAGCCAGAGATCATGCCCTGGCCATTTGCAGACCCACATGGAGGTAGATACTTTTCAAACTTCAGATTTTTCGATATGCTTGAGAGGAAAGGAGCATTCATATCTGTGACCAAGTCCTAAGTGTCTGGTGCAGTGAGGTTCATTGTCTGATGTTGTGTGTTTCATCTTTTTTCAGTCTCACTGGTTTTCCTTCATGTTTCCTATAGTACAGACTTGAGCTAGAGCAGTGCAGAAAGCATAACAAGAGTATAGGGTTCTTTCTTCCAGTCACAGCGGTCCTTACTATTTTTTTTTAACCACTATTGGATGACCCGTCTCATCCCGTCTGATGGGCTTCCCATTTCTCTAGAGTCTAATCATCCCTGAAATCTTATCACAAGAAGGATGCAATGAACAAGCAACTGCAGCAAATCCTGACATGAATAGGCTGTTCTTCTACCTTAATGGTGCCATAAACACATAAAAGCCAACATCTCAAAAGGACACACTTTATAACAAGTGTACCAAGAGCAACACCATAATTATTTAGGGCCCAGTAACAGTCCAAGTCTGGTTTTCATTCTTTGCTTTTAAATTCAAGTAATCAATATATTTGCAAACATCTGGGATATGGATACAGTAGAATTTTTTTTTACATTGTATGAGAACATCTACAATTAACAGTGATGATTTCAACTTACTCCTTGGGTTCTGACCCATACAAAGCCTGCTTGGAAGACAGCTCTTTTAAAACAGCTAGTTATAGCTTCTGCAGCACAGAAAACACACAGAAAAAACAACAATACTTCTTTCATTGTGGACTGGATTCACTTTGCAGGAAGCTGATAAATGTACCCAAATGCACTAATAATAGTAGTTTGGTACTTAGACGTGATCTTCCTGAAGAATATTTGAGCTTTCATTTTAAAAACAGAAGTTCAAAGAGCGTTTCACATAACTAACAATAGGCCAGAAGCATCTCCATGTCGCAAAGAGATGCTCCTTAGGTCAGTGCTGAGGGGGATGACACTGACCAAAGCGATAACGTTCCCTCACAGGCAGTGATAAAAGGGATAGCCTGCCTTGTTGCTGACTGTGCAATCAAGTGATACAGCTTCCAATAGCTGCTTTCAACATCAGATTTTCCTGTAGCTTCCAAGTGCTGACTCTGTTATCTCACAACAAGAAGAGTACCTACCTTCCATCATGGTCACTGGATCTTCCATTTTGGGTCGTAATATATTTGGTCCAAATACTGTAGCTAGGTTCTGGACACTCATCTTGTTAACGCTGGAGTAAGCCTGAACTTCATCAAGGAACCTTGAAAAGCCCCCCCGGAAAAATCAAAGAAAGAGAGGAATAAGCAAGTAAGCCTCACTTTTCAGACTGCAGGCTTTCTGGGGCAGGGATGACTT